CTCAAAATTTCTGCAGGAATTTTCTAGTTTAAAATTACTATTACCATTTGACTTCTTAATAGATTTTGGACCTTTTGTTTAGAAAAGACTGCAGTTTATTTTTAAAGATTCTTATGCTGTCTCTATTGAACAAACTTGATTTTTTTTCCTCCCAATACCTGTTCAGTGAAGCTTTAGGGATGTAACATATTGTACACAGTGGGACAATAATTCTCTCATATTTAGCTCTTCTTATCTACACAACAATTTTATTACTGGTAAACTTACCTTGAGAGTCCATTTACACTGAATTAAACCCGGGGGTTTAATTGAGAGGAGGAGTTGTCTTCTTGCAGAGTCCCTAGAAATCATATCATATAAAAAAAATAAATAAATAACAGAAATGATTTCCGATAACAATAAATCAATATTTCGTCATATTATACTTTGACAGAAATAACCAACGTAAACAACGCGACACAACTAACATATCACGTAAAATCTGATCATAACGTCTTAATGGCAGTTATCGTTTGTAACAATATCGACTTATTTTCTAATTTTGTTGCTCTAATCTGAACTGATTGCACAAAAATATACGACGAAGTGAAAATTTCGTTTGTATTTTTTAAGTAAAAGCTAACTTGAGCTACCTGTCTAGTCTTTTGTTTAGATTTGCAATCCTAAGGTTACCCGCATGTTATTAGCGCAGCCCCTCATTCAAGTGAAGCACGAATGAACTACAAATTATACACATCCGTAATTTTAGCCAATAAATGAATCCATCAGCAACAACAAAATTACCTTGGACATTCAAGAAACCGCTCTGCACATCACTCTATGAGCTAACCGGAAGTAGCACGCTACGCCGCTGGAACTGTTCTTTTCAAAATAAAAGTCTATCTATCTATCTATCTATCTATCTATCTATCTATCTATCTATCTATCTATCTATCTATCTCTTTGGGTTTTTTTGGCACATTTATTTACTTGGTGTACATTTGAAATGTTACATTTTTAAATACTAACCTAAAAAGTTGAGAATACTATTACATTTTTCCAGCCCTAGTGGGTACCAGACAAAAATTCCATTTACTTCCCAGCCAGAGCAAAATTACCATTAGCCCTTTTGTTTATTATTAACATGTTACATTTATTAACTGTTAGGCTCAATTTAGGAGTATCATTTTCCCCCTTTTCATAGACACTTTTGGATTTCAGCTTCACTTATATTTGCAAAGCATAAAAGCATAAAAATTTCCTAAAAGTGTCGCCACAGCTTATTATTTCGAATTTAAATTATCTTCTATTTGAGGAAACGTCAAAAGTCAAAAAGAAGTGTGACCTGGGTCTCAAACTCCATGCTTTTATATTTAAAGCGCCACATTTGTACTTCCGGAGGTCACAGCTGTCCTGGAGTACTTTTTGCGCAGAATCTCCCTCCTTGGATCCTCTTGCCTTCAGCAAGCCGTAGACCTCCGTAGCCAAGTTTCCTACAGCCCTGCGAAACTAAGGTGAGCGCGGAATATAAAGTTTGCGTCTTTAGTTGAATGTTATTTTAGGAGTGTCTGCATAGTTTCAGGAAAATGTTTGTCCTCTAAGGAAAGAGGAGCGCAGGAGTATGAGCGCAGTAGACGGAGCTAAGAATAAGCTAAGCCACAAGCAGTCAGGCAGGCTGTCCGGGTTCACTGCTCCCTCCTCCTCCTCCTTCAAGTGTTTCTGGCTCTTTCTTTGTTCCTGAAGCGCAGCTTCCTGCTCACGCTGGTCTGTGCTTGTTTATCGACTTTATTGTTGAAACTAATTTAAATGCGAGGCTTTCTGCAACTGGTGAAATTCACTGCATTAATGTTTTTACTAAAACACCAAAGTGACCCAGAAAGGGATTTTTTATTCATTTCTAAATGAAGGCAAAAGCAATGCCTTTGCCTTTAGCGTCTGCATTCTGCAGTGTACCAAATAAGAAAAAAAGTTGTTGTTTCTTTTGTGTTTTTTTCTGGTTTTTTTTTTTTTTTTTTTTTTTGGGGGGGGGGGGGATTTTAACCATATATTATCCAAATGTCTAGTTTGCTTCTCGGTGTAGATGTTAATTCTGGTGTTTTTAATGCTTTAAGTATTTGTCTCCCTCAGTTATTCACCATCATGTCTTCTGGAAACGCTCAGATTGGCAAACCTGCGCCAGAGTTCAAGGCCACAGCTGTGGTCGATGGCCAGTTCAAGGAAATCAAGCTGTCTGACTACAAAGGTGTCTTTTTTTTTTTTTGAATCCCTGGAAAATAAAACGGTGTGCACTGTATGCTCAGTATCTGATGAGAACCAGAGTTTAAACGTTTTTTCTGTGTCCCTCAGGGAAGTATGTGGTCGTCTTCTTCTACCCCTTGGACTTTACCTTCGTGTGCCCGACTGAGATCATTGCCTTCAGCGACAGAGCAGAGGATTTCCGCCGTATTAACTGTGAAGTCATCGGCTGCTCCATTGACTCTCATTTCACCCACTTGGCATGGTAAGAGGTTCTTGGGAGTAAAGTACTTGTACATAGCTGTCCCTCCAACTCAACAAAAGATAATGCTTAAAAACTTTTAAAATCAAATTGGAGTGTCAGGGATCCAAGCTTCTTGCTGTTTTAAGCCATTAAAGTAAAAGTTTGATCAGGCTGTCTAGGTATTGATGTTTGTGTAATAAGGAGGGAACTCTGGCCTAACAAGATCCCACCCTAGTGTATCTGCTGCCCTGCTGCCTTTCTGCAGCTGCTGATAAGCGTCTTAATAACGGCCTTCAATTCGTCTCACTCCTTCTAGAAGGAAAGGAGGTGTTGCACAACTTGCCTGATCTTCTTTTTTATATTAACACCTTCCTCCTCCACAAAAATAATTGAAACTATTTCAACTCTTGTGTTGCTTAAGTCAGCTGCTGAGTTGCTTTTTGTTGGATTTCTGCTTTTTCCCTAAAAGTCGACTTATAGAAATGTCGCCTCCTGACTTCTTGTTGCTATATCAAACGGCTACTTTGTGCTTTCTGAAACAGAACTTAATGTAGCAGTCATTGAGTGTTGCCAGGGATTATTTTCTTCAGAATATGCACATTATACACTGCTCAAAAAAATAAAGGGAACACTCGAATAACACCTCCTAGATCTGAATGAATGAAATATTCTCATTGAATACTTTGTTCTGTACAAAGTTGAATGTGCTGACAACAAAATCGCACAAAAATCATCAATGGAAATCAAATTTATTAACCAATGGAGGCCTGGATTTGGAGCCACACACAAAATTAAAGTGAAATGTTCCCTTTATTTTTTTGAGCAGTATATATATATATATATATATATATATATATATATGTGTGTGTGTATAAATATTTTTTTTTTCTCCACCTCTTCAGGATCAATACACCAAGGAAAGAAGGAGGACTGGGTGCCATGAAGATCCCTCTTGTTGCAGACCTCACAAAATCAATTTCCAGAGACTACGGCGTGTTGAAGGAGGATGAAGGCATTGCATACAGGTCAGTTTGACCCCTTAGATTAAAGTTTTTTATTTATTTTTTATTTTTTTGGGTGGTTAAAAAAAAAAAAAAAGATTTGTCCAAAAGATGGAACGTGGCGTTTAATGTATTTTGCTGATCCTGGGGTGTCATTTTGTTCTCTCAGGGGTTTGTTTGTGATTGACGGTAACGGGACCTTGAGGCAGATCACCATCAACGACCTGCCTGTGGGTCGCTCTGTGGATGAGACCCTGCGTCTGGTGCAAGCCTTCCAGCACACTGACAAACACGGAGAGGGTAAGTTGATCCAGTTTGCTCATAAAAATTATTATATACTCAAGCTAAATGCTGAACTTTGAAAACCACTATTTTAAGGTTTCTAAGTGCAGAGATGCATGAAGATCTCCAATGCTAGATCATCAAATTAACTTTAGATCTGCAAATTCATGTTCTACTCCCGGAATCAGATATTCTGTGCAATAATCTGGTGCAGTGACTTCATTTTGCACAGCAACAAAACCACACAGCCCATGAGGCAGAGCAGTAAACCTCAAATTAATTCTGCTCCTGAAACCTGACTGCTGTATTTGAGTTTAAAACTAACATAAAATTAATATTGTTACCTCGACCATGCCTAGCTTCAAGTTCTTATTTACCACAATGTGGTTTTAAACACAGGAAACCTGTGGTCATTCATTGTAGTAAGTCTACTGAATGTGTTCTGAGAAAAGCCATTGAACTAGGGTAACATAGAAGCAGACGAGGCTATACTTACCCAAAGTCATTAAGTGGGTTAAAGATGAGCTTTCGGTAATCTTAGATTTGAAATTATATCACAACTCTGTTCAGATTTTGGTACCATTTTTGCTGTTCTTTAAATGGTAACACTGGTAGAATAGTGTGGCACTGCAATTTCAATGTTTTGGATATTGCTCCACACTACATATAGATTTCTAGTTGCTGGTATTTTCTAAGATGATGATTGGGGAAACAACCATGACGAGAAATGGTCATAAAAATTTGGGTTCTAAATATAATCCCAATATTCAGCAACAATATCATAGTTGCATGTTTTCCTTGTATTGTGCAACAAGCATTGTATTGTAAAGCAATATTTTTTTTATATTATTTAAAATAATGCCAGTTATCTTAAAAAAAAACCATTAAAAATGGCTTGGCTTCTTAAGGTTTTTTTATGTGCAACTTAGGGCATGTCTTTATTTAGGTAATGTACAAAAAGTAAGACAAAATTCAAGAAATGGGAACTAGTTTATTGATGAAGCAATTAAAAAAAAAAAAGTACTGATTCTGCCCAGTTTAAATGTTTTCGCTGATGTAATTCATGTTTTTATAATGATGCAAAAGCCGTGACCCACTTTGTGAAACACGTGGGGGTTTGTTGGAGCTACTTTACAGAAACTTTAAACAACGGTAAGATACTTGCTACCTAGTCATTTTCACAGGCTCCTCTGAAACTACAAAGAGCAGCGAGCAGAGACGTAAAGAAATAAAAGGAGCCAGTTGCACAAAACCAAATAATACACTGAAGTTTTACAAACATTTGCTGCATCTGAGCATGTACTGCACATATTTGTCAAAAATAACTTGATGAAACTGAAGTAGCCATCTGCCTTCATAGCTTAGCCTTAACTAGCAGCGATATTGGTTTATCCTCTTGGACATTCACACATGTGTACTTTGTCCTGTGATAACATGGTTTATCAACCACCTCTGACACTTGAAGTAAACTTTGTCCCTCTTCTATCTCTGCACAGTTTGTCCCGCCGGCTGGAAGCCTGGGAGCGACACGATCATCCCTGACGTGCAAAAGAGCAAAGCCTTCTTCTCCAAGCAGTAAATCCCAAGGTCTTCTGTCCAGCAGATTGGTCATGAGTGCAGCACTTGTTTCTGGATTGGAGGTTTCCCTGTGAAGTACTACAGATCTCGCACCCATTAGAACAAACTTATCAACTTCCTCTACAAGTGTTATCCTTGTCTGCTCAGGCTACAGTTGATGGGATAACCTCTTAGTCTCACGCACTGAAACTATAGTTTAGTTTTACTCCCTTTTGTTTGTTTTTTCAAAAAAAAAAAGTGATATTTTTTCCTTGCTGTCATTTGCTACCATCTCTATTAAAACTGTGGGAAAACACTGTCTGCTCTGTGCAAATTAATTTTTTTGAATCTCAATTCATTAATGACCTCTAGGTGGCAGCAAAACTCTAAATCTGACTTTGAGTCTCTAATCTGTGAGGGTTTTTATTTATTTTTTTCTTTCCTTTTCTTCTGTTCTTGGACCTGAGGCAGTTGAACAGCTTTGCCTGGCAGAAGATCACAGTACGTCACAAAGCTGCCAAGTCTTGGTTAATATTGGAGTTATTGTGGTGGTTGAGTCAGCACAACAATCAGCGATTGCCAAATGGCTCCAGTCCCTGTTAGGAAAGATTGGATAGTTGAATATATACGTCTGTATATTTCATTTAAAATTGAGTAGAAATGTTCTAATAAATTTTAGTCATTTTGACTGAAACCATAATATTAAAGTCTAAAAGTACTCCAAATTAGTAAACATCTTGAATAATCACTTCTGTAAATGACTGAAAATTGGACATAAAAAAAGAAAAAACGTGTGTAAATATGCATGCCGGATTTTATTTAAAAGGAAAACCTGTAAACATTTAACTATTTCAGTCGTGTACCATTAGTACTTTAGGCGTCTTTTTATCTGTTAAATCTAACCTTTGGAGAAGGTGCGAGGACATCGTTGCTCTCGTAAAGATTGGTCTCATTTCATTCATTTATTTTATTCATGTCTTAACTAATTACGTTGTAAAAGTTTTAAAATAATTAAGTGAAAATATCCAAGATTCTTTTGTTAGGTGTTTGTTTGCTCCATGAATTGATATATTCTGAAGGAAAATTTAATCTACTGACCTACCCTCCAAAGATAGGTGACTTAAATTTGACTCTTTTTATTTCATTTGATTATTTCCACCAGATTTTCCTAGCAAGTTTTATAACTGAATAAAAAAAAAGCAATTTAATGAATTTAGCATTGGCATATTATTAGTTGCTTTTTCTTAATACCGGTGCTTTTTTTTTTTTTTTTTTTTAAATTGACGTTTTTCATCTCAAAGTCTTTCCGCCAGCTTTTCTTTCCGACTACATTTTTAACTTAAACGTCATTACGACATGTTTTCATGGAACTTTTTTTTCTCTTTCCTGAGCTGTTGATCACAAGGCTTGTTTTGGGAAACCAAAAGCAGAATGGGGGGGAAACTCCCTTCACTAGAATAAACTCATTGACAAACCTCTCTCTCGCTGTGGTGTGAAGGGGAGAGCGCAGCCTCTGACTGGCAATGTAGGAGGGAGTTCCCGGAAACCTTGTCGTGATATGACGTCCGCACGCAACAGTTGCCATATATGGGTTTACGCACGTACGTCAATAAGGAGGGGAGGGGGGAAAAAGTCCTACGCTGGGACGTTTTGGCAACTTCTGGTGTAAACTTCTGATCAGTGACAACAAGTGTGGTTATATTTACGAGAAATACGACCGTGTTTTTCAAAGAACAGACCTTTATAAGCAGCATGGTATTTTAATTACACGTTTTCTTTTACTTAAATATTATCGTACAGGTACAAAAGAAAAGAAAAGAAAAAAAAAGAAATACAAATAACTTATACATTTAAAAAGCATCACAAAGGGCGAACAAAAAAAAATGTAAACAGGGAAAGCCAAGACGACACTTTTAAAAACGTATTCAAAAATGCCCCTAAGTGTTTCTTGTAGGCTGATTGTAGGATTTCTTGTCTGGCTTTTTTTCTTTCTTTCTTTCTTTCTTTAAAGCCACATACGTTTCAGTTCTCATCCACTCAGCGTATAAAGTCTTATGTTTTTCAGTGCAGTTTTTGTCCAGTGTTCATTAAAAAGTGCATAATTTCTTCAGTAAGACTTCACTTTCGGCGCTAACATGAGCTGGCAGCCACTGCTCACATGAGTCATGACTTTCTGTTTGAGCTGGGCCACCTGCTCCCGCAGCAGGGAGGCCGTGTTCGACAGTCCGGCGTTGTCCGTTTTCAACACCTTCACCTTGTCCTCCAACCGGGCGATGCGCTCCAGCTTGCGCCTCCGACACTTGGAAGCTGCCAGCCGGTTCCTCAGCCGCTTGCGCTCCGCCTTGATCCGCTCCTGGTTCTCCAGGTCGATGGGGGACATCGGCGGGGAGCTGTTGTCGCTGCTCTGCATGTCGGGGACCGTCTGGGGCTCCTCCTTCAAGCCCCCGAAGCGCTGCGAGTGGACGCCAGCTCCGGCCAGAGAGTGCTGGAAGTGATGCGACCCGTGCGCCACGGCCTGGGGATGCTGGTGGTACTGGTGGTGCGGCAGGTAGCTGATAGTTGTGGACGGGTAGCTGGGCGTGGAGGTCAGGCTAGGGTTCGTGGTGCAGCTGCTCAGGGTCGTGTACTCCAGCGGTTCCGTCTGCATAGAGTGGGCGAACACGGCGCCCGGAGCCGGACACGCGATCCCGCCGGTGCCGATGGAGACGTTTGGAGGCGCCATCTGGTTCATCTTGTGCAGATCGTCCAGGGCTTTGACGAAGCCTTCTGCGAACACCTCCTGGTCCTCTGTGATGCCGCGGTTGTAGAGGTACTGTGCGGGGGTCGGCGTAGTGATGACCCCGTTGCTGCTCTGGATGATGAGCCGCTCGAGTTCAGGCGAAGCGAGCTTCAGCGAGCCCACGTCCGCGGTGCCCGCCGGGTAGAAATCACTGTCTGCGCGCAGGTGCTGTGTCTTGAAGCTCGAGTTCCGATATGAATCGGAGAAGTTCAAGTTCATATTCTGCTTTAGCAGCTTGTAGTCTGGCAGGGCAGCGCCTGGATGGCCATAAGCAGAGAGAAACGAGTCGTCATAAAAAGGCTGTTCCATTATTGTGGACATATTGTGTGTGTTTTTTGTCTTAAAAAAAAAAAACCGACAGTCAAATACAAGAGTGCGCTGCAAACGATGCTGCTGTGTCCCAAATGTGCCAATATCCAGCGCAAAGTCCCGCTGTATTTATTAATGCTACGAAAAACAGCAAAACTTCCAAAACATGGGAACTGTACTGTACCAAGTCGTCGGTTTGTACCTTTAGATGGATTCAAAGCGGAGTCCAGAGATTTATTCAGGTGTTTTCATTCCTCTTCTTCTCTCTGTAAGTCCTAACTTGTCCTCAGTTTCCTTATTACTGGCAGCGGCCGAGGCGCTCCTCTGCTTTTAAAGCGCGTCTCAAGAGGAGCCCGCTGATTGGCTGCTGCGTTAGAGGTCCCGCCTACCGCCGTGAGATTGACATTGACGTTGTTGCCAGTAATCCAAGAGCCATAAACAAGACAAGGGGAAACTCAGTGAAGGTAAACAAGACGACTCTTAAGTTAAATCCACATTTATGTATTTAAAGGGGGGGAAAAAAGTGATTTAGAAAGTATCAAAATTTAAAATAAAAAAAAAAATAAAAGCCAGCGAGGGAGCCTGATGTATCATTAAGTGATCAGCTGTTCTGAAGTAGCCAGTTTTCCTCCAGTCCATGGATATATATTGTCTGGCGCTGAGTCATGCGATCCAAACTGATACGGGCCGCTCCATATTTGGGTAACCAGTTCCTCCATGCCTGGAGCAGGAAGCCAATCCCATCCTGGCCCGCTTCCAGCTCCTGACATCGCTGTGGGAGGAGGAGGAGGAGAAGGAGGAGATGTAATTCTGCTCTAGTCCAGCCAGAGGGCCAGGAGAAGATGGGTTTGTGTCAAACATGCCCAAAAGTATCTGGCAAGGTCTTGGTATATATATATATTTTTTTATAAAAAAAAAACCTGTTTTATTGAGTTTTGGCTACATAGTTTAAAAAAAAAAAAAACAACCAAGAGGAAATCTGGTTGTGTCTTGTAAATTTATGTTTTTTCTTTATTGTGGCTTGAGGCGTTCCTGGATGAGTGAACACATGACACAGCTGCTTAGGTATTTGTGAAGGAGGACGTCTTCCCTGAACTGAACACCTGTTTGATCGAAAGACATTTTGTCTTGCCTGTATGGTAATGTCCTCTGATTCAGTGCCCAGAGGGCCACACACCCACACTCCCTTAACTTTTCCAATTTTTCCAGCATTCATGGCAAATTTGTAAGGATGTATAGATTTGACTGCATTTCTTGCTCCTGCTCTATTCTCAAAACTCGAGCGAGCCCTTATTGCCGTTTCAGACAGATGGTGATAACTTGAGTTTTGGACCCAAATATGAAATGAGTGCTCCATCAAAACAAACTTGTTCTCGTCCCTGCTTTGTTTATTTATGTCGGAAGTGTCTTGTTGTGTGATAATCACTGCGAAATTCCCTTAAGTATCACCGCACAGGTTTTTCAGAGAAGTTCTGTAACCTTAAGCTATATTTTTAAAGTAGCAAAGCACAACTAACTACAAGGCATGCAGAGCCTTGTAAAAGCACACATAATTCATTAATTTCTTTAGATTCCCAACTTCAAACTTCAGTTTATTTTTGCTTGGATTTGATGTAATAAAGTTACATACCGTAGCGGAAATTTGCAAAGTATTAGGAAAAAGACGTACAACAAAGAAAAACCATCCAAATCTATAAAGCAAATATATTCAGCCCCTCTTGGTCATTTCATTTTTATTACAGTTGCTGCTGCCAGTCTTTTTCAGGCTCAAGCTTCAGAAACTGATATGTTTGCATAAGCTTGGACAAGAAATAAACATCAACGTTTTCATGCAGGAAATAAATTCCAATTTGCAAATGAACCCTTACACTTTAATTTTGTAAATCTTTTGTGTTACTTTACCCTTTCTTACAGCCACAGGTGCAAAAAGATTCGTTTTTATCTGCACATACAGCCACCAAATGCAAATTCGCAGAAATTCTCAGAGCCAGCATGAGTCACAATGCTGAACAACAGAAGCCGAAAATGAGAATCTTTGATTTTCTTGTATGGGATGAGCTCCAGAAATACCCGATCCTCTACGTTTCTTCTGATGCAGCGTCGAAGCATCTGCCTCCCACAATTCAAAAATTCCAGGTAAACGTTGTCAGATAACGCGATGACATCGCTGTGGCATAATTGGGCTTGTATCAGATTTTGTTCAACACCTCCGGAGCTTCGCGTGTCATTTTGTCACAGGCTGAGTAATAGCGCGTTAATTTTTATGTGTAAAATTGGATTTGTGACGCTCCAGAGTCCATTTTAAGGCTACCTTGTCATTATTAGTTGTCATGCAGCCCTTACATTGTTTACACTCCCTCTCCACAGTAGGGTGACACAATAACTATTGACTGATCTAATATCCTAGATTCAGTAGCAATATTCAACCTCATACTGTAACTCTAACTTTTTCCACTTTTTGTCCTATTCCAACCTCACACTTCGACATATCATGAAAGGGATTTTATGGGATAAACCAGTAGTGGAAACTGGAATGGCTCACATCAGGGGTGACCTTTTGTCACATGTATCAAAATTTCTAACATATTCCTTTATGCAGGAAACATCTTTCAAAGTACTAGCAGGTCAGGAAAAGAATCTATTTATTATTATCTTTTTTTTTTGCCTACTCAACAATCAAATAAACTAATCTGATTTGGATTTTTTGTAGGAACAGGATTGTAAATTCAAAACTTCAAATGTTTTTTTGTTGTTGTTGTTGTTCTTGTTGCTGTTCATTTGCCTTGTTAGATGAAAAGCATCCAGTTAGCTTATTCATTTTTTTGATTGAAGAAAATGGAAAAATATATATGTATATAATAAAATAAAATAAAAGCAGGATCTAGGTCAGTCTTAATTTAAAATTGCATTTAGACAAGTTTTACAGAAAAAAAACAAAAAAACAAAAAAAAAAAACAGGCAGATTTTGGTGCCCCAAAATGTACGTTAGAGTATAAGTGAATGACGACATGTGGTCCTAGTTACCATGGCAACAGTAGGAAACCAGAAAGCTTGGAAAAGGCGAACGCGCTGTGTTGAATCTCATATTTTTGGTGGTAGATTTTTGATTCAAAAGTCGTGGGTTTTGTCCTAATTCATTTAATTCATATTCAAATTATGGTCGGGAGGGCCGCAAGATATTTGTCCTTCCTTAGGCCCAGCTTTGAGCGCCGAATAAGAGTTAGAGCAGCCCAGTCAAAGTACAGACCTAAATCCAATTGAGAATTTGTTGCAGCTCTTGGAGTGTGACTTTGAGCCCGAGGCATTGTGAAAAGAACAATTGGCAAAAATCTGTCTCTGGGTGTAGAAACTGGTAGAAACACACCTTAGAAGACGTATAACTTCATTGGCAACAAAAGACGTAAAGCACGGAGTCATCGCAGATAAACAACACCTGCAAAAACCACTTCTCCCTTCTGCTCCACATATATGGGATATTTTGTGTTGGTCTGCCACAGAATACTTTAATAAAACACACTGAAGTTTGTGGTTGTAATGTGGCAAAAAGTTGAAAAGCTTAAGCAGTACAAATATGTTTGCGAGGCACCGTATTTTTCTTCCTTTTTTTTTGTGAAAGTATGTCTGATGCAACTTTGGCTGCAGCTTTCGGCATCCTTCCCCTTCCTGCGGGAGTCTAAGGTTAGGGCAGCAGTCACACAGTGGTCAGCTCGGGCCAGCCTCCTCCCATTGAAACCTCGGTCAGATGTGATGGTTCTCCTGTCAGGGAAGATAAGCTCCAGGGGAAACAGAAAAACAGAAGTCGTTTAAGGGAAATGGACTGAAGTCACTGGTCAGTTCCAGTTTCAGCGTGACCTCATCCGTAAAGGTCATAAAAGTCATGATCATTTTGAGGAATGTCTCATCGCGTTATCAATTATCATATATTTTTTTTTGTCCTTTAATTATCCAGTAATGAAACATTTGAATAAACGTGACTTCTTATCTGAGATCCTAATCGGTGCTGCAGCTGTAAACCGTTTTTTTTTGTTTTTTTTTTATCTTTGTTCACATGAGCATAATTACATACAGTTATGGGCAAAAAATTCAGAGAAGCAGAGTGCGAGCACCTCATACAAGCAATTCTGTCACTTTCTTTGAACACGGCTATGATTCACATTGACAGATAAGACCACGGAGAACAAAGCAGCAGCAGAATGAGAGGAGGAAAGAAAAAAAACCCGATGAAAGTAGCAAAGGAGTGTGTAGGTGCAATCAGCCACAGTGGAGCCGACAGCGCCTGCGGCTCAGTGTTATAAAGACACTTTTGTGTTCTTTAATGGCCATTAGCACGTAGTGGTGGGACAGAAAGGCCTCCGGCCGAGCCTGGAGGAGAGACTGAAGGCAGGTGAGCCGAGCGAGGCAGGAGCCTGAAGCTGCACCGCGGAGGAAATGAACTGTTTTTATCACTTTTCTGCTACACGGATGCATCATTAAAAGAATAGAAAGCCTGTAATGTGAGCTCCAAATCAGCATTGGTTTAATCATGAGTCACACTTTCAATTATTATTATTATTTTATTTTTTTTCTTGCCAAGAAATTTCTGAATCATCAAGAGATAACTACAAGCGACTTGTCTGCAGCTTGTTTCTGACAGAGGACGTGTGAAGCAAAGGTCAAAATGTCCAATTGTGAAACATTTCCCACTGCTACAGCTTGACTTCCAAAGAAGTGGTCCTGTGAAAAAGTATTTCCCCCTCCTCTTTCAAATGTATTTTCTGTCACACTTAAATATTTTTAAAAGCAAACACATTTTCTTAGCACAAATAGATTAGCTGAGTGTTTTCAAGTGGTAATTTCATTTATTTCAGAAAAATAATCCGTGGATTGGAAAGGGAAAAATTGGGTTACTTGGGTTATGCAAGAAAGCGGTGATCATCCAAAGCACACCAGCAAGGTGACTAAAAGAAAAACAAATGGAGGTTATAGTGGCCTAGATAAGGTTTGGACCTAAAACTGTCTATTCATGCTAAGAAGCCTTCCCTGTGGTGAAAATAAACCAATTCTGCAAAGAAAAGTGGGTCAAATTCCTCCATGATGACTCAAAAAACTGGTTTCCAGTCACTGCAGAGGCTTGATGGCAGATGATGCCACCAAAGATGGCAACAGCCACTTCTTAGGTTCAGGTAGATCTTAAATCATTATTTGAAAACTGTGTTTTGTATTTAGTTTTGGGGGAAAAAGAAACAGTTGTGACAACAACAACAACAACAAAAAGTCAAGGATGCTGAGGATGCTGCGTTCTCCTGTCACCTCCTTTGCAAAACTTTGAGCAGAAAAGACAAAACCAGAGAACGCCTCAGAGCTGCCGATGTTCATCTGGGCTGACGTTAACTCTCTCCTCCCCTTCTAAAACACTTGTCGACTTCGTTAAATGAACCAGAAGTAATGTCTCTCCTGTGTCTTTGGCAAGGTCTTCCACACTGGAAGCTCGATGACCTGGAAGTGGCCTGTAGTTGTGGGTGAGTCAGGTAGAGGAGACGCTCGTCGGGTCGGGAGTGGGGGGAAAAAAGATGGCCGTTCCCTGAAGGAGAGGACAGCTCATCGCCTCATGCAAGCCCAAACACCGTTAAAGTCCTT